GGTGCGTGTGTATACTCTGCCAATCACATTTGACTTCAATATTTACTTTATCATTGCTTTTATTTACTATTTTACTTTATTGACTAAATTTTGGTTTCTGCATTTCTGTTTTTGGTTGTTCCTTTTAGCTTGTTCTGAGTGGCTTTTTACAGCTATGATGTTTTTCTGTTCTGAAATGTTTGTGTTAATTCTTCTCTAAGGAAACATGTTTGGGTAGAGAAATGTTTCACATCTCACGGAAAGCAGCACTTGAGTTTTACTCAATTCAATCATGTTGTGTTTTTGATTCTCCAATGTAGGATGTTCTGGAAAGTAATAGCAATTTTCACAGTATATCAGAAGAAGATAGAGATTCCGTTGTTAGTTTGAGGTATTGTATTTCTATCTTATCCAAACTCTTGTTGTGCTATTCTTTGGTGGTGGTGGTAGTAGTGGAAATGACAGTACCTTGAGCATAAAATAGAGGGGTGGTAGGAAGGACCATGAATACTGATTGAAACTCTCTGGAAGACTGAGAAAAATATAGTTCTGAAAACACCTCTATTACAGTTGAAAGGATCATTCCACCCCTTATCTAAAGAAATGTCGTCTGGACTACAAAAGCTTTTAATACATTAATTTTGATAGCACTTCATGATGAACTGTTACTGCAAAAACGAATGCATCGCCATCGGTGGGGTAGGATGGTGTGAGAGCAACACCTGTACAAATTGCAATTGAGATTGCACAAACCAAAAAGCGCTTAACCAGTTCAACTCACAGAGGAAGCTGCTTTACTGAGGATGAAGAGTTGTATATTTTAGTGATTCAAAAACTGAGTTGTCATCCGTGAAATCCTGTTCAAGGCTCAGCTCAAAGCCACAGCCATTCATCTATATTACCAAAATGCTGAAGGAGGAGAAATTAGGAAGAGGACTAAAAGTGGATAGTAAATACTATTATTCCTATGTTGTCATAGCATTGTAAGGTTGGAAAGGACTTTGGAAGTCTTCTGGTCCAACCCTCTGCCCAGTGCAGGAATCTCAAACCATTATTTAAAGTCTTTAGTGTGCTATTACAACAAAGTGTATTTTCATGATTTGAGTCATTAGTCTCTTTTACCCATCAATCAAAACCTTATGCAGCACAAGAGGTGGTTTAACAGAAAGATTCTCTAGCCCTTGTTACTACCACCATGCTGGGCTGGTTGCAGATACAAAGCTAGAGCTCTCAAGGAACATCAGTAAAACAGAGCAGTGCCTGTCCAGTGATTACGTTGAATGTTGTTGAGTGTTTCTGTACCTTGGCTGATTATGTTATATGATTTTGTTTTGGGTTTGGTTTTTATATGCTTTAAATTCCATTTTTGCTTTTCGTTTAGGGTTGTGTTTTAAACTGTTGTAAACTGCCCAGAGTCATGTATATGAGATGGGTGGCCAAATTAATTGAAGAAATAAGTAAGTAAAACCAGTTATACGCATTTCCTGTTTGTTACATTGGGTTAAAGATTTGGGAATCACCCTTTCATGGGAATATCCCCTGGCATTTTGGAAGCCCATAAAAATTCTAGTGTCTTTATCTCCATTTATTGATGTTTAGTAGTAGGCTTTGCATCAGCTATAACCAGTTTTATCTCATTTTCTTTGTTGCATATTTTCATCAGTGCACAGAACTGTTTCCACACTGACACTAGTTTTCCATAAGAGCATCTCCTCTCTCCAAAGTTATCAGCCTTAACAATTACTTTTCATCAGTGTCATCTTTTCCATAAGAGAGGTCAAACTAAACTTGTGAGTTGAGCTTGCTAACCTACCATTAATCCTACATTAATAAAAAATGGAACAGGCTGAACAGAAATAAATTGAAACTCATCATGGCCTTTCATTTGCATAATAGCCTTGGAAAGTGGTGTGTGTGTGTATGTGTGTATGTATGTATACACACACACACACACATATAACACAGAACCTTGCACAATATAAACGCAAGTACTGAAGCACTGCAACAAGGTTGTAGTTTTGCATTGCAAAGGAGATACACGCTCCCATAATTGCTGGAAATGTTTCTTAAAGCTTCAGCCTGCTGAATATACTGAACAATAATGCTAAATAAGAAAACATACCAAGTCACAAGGGAATTATGAGTTACAGAAATGGCAATGGGGAGATTCCATGTTCCTTAACAGATGTCAGAGACATTTGAGATTAAGTTGCTGGATGAAGTTGCCCTTTCCATCATGATTTTCTAAAGGTTATCGTATCTACCACATGTTCCTTATACCTTGGTGTTCCTCAGAGATCCTTACCCCATGAAGTCTGGTTAGTGATTTCCAGTGTCCTCAGAAGTGGGCATGGGAATGTCTTCAGCTCCCTCATACAAACTGATGAAGAGTAAGATCTCAAATGTTACTTGTGGTCAGATATAAAATGTAACAGCAGCCTAGTAATAGCTTAGATTATTTTTGATCTGCAGAAAGCCATAACATTTCCTTTAAACCTTCATACAAAGAGCATCACGTGTCCATTCTTTGATATTACTAAACTTCAAAGCAAATGATTCCACAGAAATCTATTTTTGCCATAATTATGTCAAAGAGAAATACCAGGAAGTGATCTATTATTCAAGATGCTTGATAAAGCACTGCGGATGTGGATATCCTCAATGACCCAGATGGGACCTTGCCTTGAATTATATGATTGGCCCTTGAAAGATGTGAATTAAAGGGAGTATATAAACTCAATCTCCAGGTATCTATCAATCTGCAGCTCAGGATTACAAACATCATTTTTGTTTCTGCTTATTCCTTTCATCTATGTCCTCATTCTGCTTATAAAGACCGTAGTTCTGCTTATGGAGTAGCAGCAATAACAGTCACAAACAGATGCAGAAAAGCAACAAATAAACCCTAACTAATTAATATTGGGTCTAAACACTTAGCCCTAATGAGATGAAAAAAATGAATGGAAATAATTAATGCTCATTAATGAAAGGGAAAAAAATATAGGAAGAAGGATGTGAGCCAATTGGACACACTAAGGGAATAAAAGAGAGGAAAAAAAGAGAAAAAACTTTATTCCACTTCATGTATTTTTGAACAGAAAGACAATAAACTGTGAACAGCATAAAATAATGGATGCTGGGAAATAAAAAAAAAGATGACTGAAAAGTGCATAATTGCATGTTTCGACAAATAAGAAATAAATCCTGGACAACAAAAAAAAAATTGCCAAAATTTTTGCATATGCATATATTTAAATCCAATTTTACAACTCACAGTGAGCATTTACAACTGTTTTGTTCTTTAACAGTAAACATGAAAAATAAAGAAGAATGAGAAGGGAACTAGTTTTCATGGCTGAGATGTCCATATTTATTTTTTCCCCATAGGCAATAAAAATGGCAGTGAAGTATTCTGGGAAAGAGGCAAAGAATGAGAAAGGTGCAGATATATTGGACTGAAGTTTGTGCTTCAAAAGTACACTATTCGTTTTAAAAACCAAATGATATTTATTTATAACAATCAATTCCATATATGTCCTCTCTTTCTCTTGCTAAAGTTGTCAATATTTGAAAGCAGTTTTAAAATGACACATGGCATTAAAACGATGGCACTTCTAACCAATGTGGCATTTCCATATTTACAACAACTAAAAAGAAATTTACAAGACATGATAGCATACAATCTTGACATTTAGTAATAGCGGTAAAACAAAATGGCATCTCGGCTTTTTCTGTACAACTATGAGAACAAGACTTCTATTCACATTTTTTAAAAAAATCATCTGTAATTTGATCTGATCTACACATTTCCCAAATCCATTTTCCCTCAATTCTCAAACCTTTCATCACATTGCCCACACCTTCACCGAACTACAGGAACTACAAGTAATTAGATCTAAAATCTAAACAGAGCAAACATTCTCTTTCCAATTTCTCTCCTGTCATCCAGATTATTAAAACTCTTCCTTCCTTCCTTCTTTGTAATTCACTTTCGCACTTCTCCCTCAAAACAGTGAAACCATTACTCATTTCTTCTCAAGCAAAGTTAGAAAGAAACTGTATGATTTATGAATGCTACACCCAAGAGTCAGGGGACCCAGGATATTGTTCTGTTCTGTAAGAAGGTCGTCTGGTAGAATAGAAATCTACATAGTTTGTGGTTGATTTCAGTCCATACTGTGTTGTATAATCTGTAGCAGCTGGAAAGTGAACCCGATCATCAAAATATGGGTCTTCATAACTATGTGGGGATTGCAAATATAATCTGTATGCATCATAATGCTTTCTGTTGGAATCATCTTGACTGTAGTACAAGTGCTGATGCTATTTGGAAAATAAAATAAAAGCACAAGCAATGTTATTCACTTTCTTAGAACTACACAACAGATTTCCATGCATAGATGTGGTAGTAAATTAGTCATATGAGAAATGAGTTCTGTACTGTAGTCACATTTCTACAATGAGAAATAATATTTATCAAATCTTACACCACATTTTTATTAGCCTTTTTTAGATCCAGAGTTTCAAGAAGGCCAACACTGAGCCTGTATAATTTGCAGTACAGTGAGTAATCTTACAAGTACAGTATGTATATAAAATAATACTTTTGATCTGATATTTCATTTGGAACCCAAAATTTGTGGAGCCAAGAGACAGTGTCAAGCAGGTATTCTTCTGGAAAAAAAAAAAAAGGCTAGCTAGTCTGGGGGATCTAAATATACACTGAAGGCCTGTCCCACAACTTTTTATTGTACTTGGTAGGCCATGATCTCTGAGTGGAAAGCAAAGTTCCACAAAGAATTCTATAAATGGGTTTAGCTAAGGATTTAGAGTTTGTAGATCTATTGTACTGAATGTATGAAGATCTAGTGGGCAGTAGGACAGGCTGGGACACTGAATATTGGGTCTTATTTTTATGGCCACATCTCCCAGCCCGACCAGCTATATACGGGGCTTGCTATCAAACCTCTATTCTTGTGATGTGCCAGATTTCAAATGTAATCTAAATATGAAAACACAATGAAAATTAAATGAAATCATGGAAGAAAATAGGAAAAAAGGGCAAATCTTTTCAAGAGGCATTTGTTCAAACAGTGCATGATATAGGACTATAGTATACGTTAGTAAATGTCTTTTACCTTATTCTCGTCATTTGCAAAGTTTTAATCAATTATGAAGATTATGGTGATTATGCATGCTTTTAAATATAGTATTTTCATTTTTGTCATCCCTAGTGAGGATACAAGTAACCAGTGGAAGATATTTATTTTCAGGAAAATGACTGCAGCCCATCTCAGACAGGCACTTTCTTTGTTACAGGTATTCCTCGCTTAATGACTGTTCATTTAACGACAGTCTGGAGTTATGACAGCCTTGAGAAAAGTGCTTTATGATCTCTGCAGTCACGATTGTGATTTGCTACTTTTACTATGATCGTTAAGCGAATCACCACAGTCGTTAAGTGAATCATGTGGTCGTTAACAGAATTCTGGCAAAAAACGTCCATTGAGAAGGCAGGATTATTTTCTTCTTGTGCATTTGTGTTGTTTGGGTACCATACACAAACTATTGTCCTCTTTAAATAAATCATTCACCTATCTATAAACTTCATCTCTGATTGCCCACTGAAGAGAGTTGCTTTTTTCTCTTATTAACTTTGTACTTTTCCTGGAAAACTTGAAATTGTAAGAATTATGCCCTGCATTTGAACAAAGTTCATTACTACGGATATAGATGAAAAATAAAAGTGTCACATTGTTTCTTCAACTCTTCCATCAGTAAGTTCACACTGCAGCATTTCAACTACCTCTTCCTGGTAAAGGCATTTTTCTGCATTGAAGGTCTGGGTCTGCATCATTTTCCATTCTTTGCAAATTGCATATTTTTTTGTCTGACTGACTTTCTAACTTTCCTTTTCCTAGTGGCATATCTTTAAGGATGTGATTAATTATTCCTCTGTAGGAACAATTATTTTGTATTTATATGCCACCTGATGTGCAAATATTGTATATACACTTTGCATGAAGATGCTTCGCATCCCATTTTGATATAACCATGGCTTCCTTGTTTAATTTGTCTAATGGTGATTGCATCCCTCTGACCTAATGTCTATTTTATTTTGCTTCTGCTTGTCAGACCATATTTGCTTCTACTTGTCAGACATTTCTTAAGGAATATAGTTGGACTTCTTAGGACTTTGTTGCATCTGCTGCCCTATCATGGGCGTCTGCAGAGCTTTTCTTGGGGGGAGGGAGGAAGCAATCTTATAATACATCAATAGCCTGTGCTGTTGGATATTTTTTGGCAAGAGACCTTTTTTTCCCCCCCATAAATTGGAAAATTTGTCACGATTTCTCAGGAAAATGCCCTCCTGTTTAATGCCCTTAGATTACCACAATTCCATTCACATAAAATGCACCCTCACTGGGATCCAAACTGATCACCTTTAGAATAAGCTTCCACGCCTTACCTGTAGGCGCCGATTTTGGTCCCGTGCTGGTGAAGAATAGGAACTGATATAAATTGGCGAAGGTTTACTAGAGCCTGTAGGTAAATGGCAGTATTGTATTAAAACCAAATTTCATGCTAGATGATTTTTTATGCTTTACTGAAAGAAGAACGAACTATTGCAATCAATGTTTTCAGTATTTTGTTTGATGGGATAGGGCAACAGTCACCTAGACTGTGGGTGATGACTGGTTTGATTTATTCTGATTCACCCTTGCACCTTTCTCAATCAATATTTGTCTTACAGTTTCTATCCTTTCCCTCACTGCTCCGGTTGTATAACAATGTTATTCTTTAGAGTAGAAGGAAAAGGAAAGAAAAAAGTCTGCAAGTTGTTCAGCTAGAATGAAGACACTCCTAAATCTGAGCTCTAATCTGTAAAGCAGTGACAGCCTTTCATGGGCGTAAGATAAGTATATGGTTCCTGAAAAATGATAGACAAAAATAAACTGGTTTGGTATCAGAAGAGACCCACTGGCGTTCAAACAACGCATTATTTTGGAAGCTATTTTATAGGTGCTTTGCAAATACAACCTCATCTTGCTTACACTATGCTCCCCCCCCCGCCCAATCTTTTATAAACAAAGAGTTTAAATAGAGAGAGTTATTTACTTTCCCGCTTTCCGTTGCATCTCACTGGGCCCTTACCAGTATAGATGTCTTTGTGTGCAATCCCATCACCTTGGCTACTGTAATATTGCATAGAGGTCTGGGTCCTATCATATTCAGAACGAGGGTCTCTAATTCCCAAGAGTGCTGGTGATGAAGATGTGCTGCCAACTGAGGAAAAGACAGTAGCAGAGGAGGAGGCAGGGAGAGAAGGCCAAACAAAGAAGGAAGAGAGAGAGAGAGAGAGAGAGAGAGAGAGGAAGGATGAGCATCAGATCAGTTCAGAAAGCTATATGACTGCTTAGTAATAACCACCTGCTTGACTAGTGACAAAAAGAAGCAACAAGTATGTATCTGTCAATATTAACCAGGACCTTCTGGAAGAGAGACTTTGCAGCCTCAGTGCAGCAAGGAATCTGTTAAAATTAGAACTGTAATGACCCCGGTTCAAATCCCAACTCCAACAGTTTATTGAAGAACGGGTCCATCGCTAGCTCTCCGCTTATCCAACTGCACAAGGCTATTGTAAAGATTAAATGCAGTGGTCATAGTACTTTGGACATAATGATGGGACACAAATAAACAAGTTGTAGAATATGTAATTAGCAACTAGGTTAAGTAGACATTTATTGGACATTAAATCGACACTCAATATATGCATTTTAAAACATTAGTTACATTCCATTCCTAAGTACTGGAACAGATGATTAACCAACCAACCAACCAACCAAACACCTTTAAAAGCCAGGCCATTTCCTATTGTACACAAAGGCATTAGCAAATTTTTAACAAAGAACCTTTTGACTTTATGAATTTTTAGAAGATGTTTGCTGATACTGTTTCACTCTCACAAAAATATTTATCTACCTATGTAAAGTACAGGTAGTCCATGGGTTAAGAACACCCAGGTTACAGACGACCCATAGTTAAGAACGGAGCCTACTGTAGCAAAATCCAAGTTAAATACAGAATGGTTTGGGCTAATTTCACAATACTACTTATAATACTTATACAGTATTATATAATACTGTTCTGGCTTACATACAAATTCGACTTAAGGACAGACCTTGGGAACAGAACTC